CATTAATGCTGCATTTTTGTCTCAACAAAAGACAGTTGCAGCTGTGAAAATGTGCAAAATCTTGTGTGGAAGTACCATAAACTCCATTATATGGTGCTTTGGCATCTGACAAACCCTTAAACCTTTCACTGGTTGTATTGGGCAGCAGCGCACAACCTGGTGATGTGTTTCAGTGGTTTGAGCTGCAACAATTGTTGAATTAGTCTTCAACTATTTGTTTAATCATCAAACATGTTGGTATTTCAATAGCTGGTTTTAAGAGTTGTTTAAGTTAAACGGTCTAAATTCTCTGATTGCAGTTTCTTAAATATGAACACTTTTGGGTTTCTTTATTTCTCTATGACAGGAAACTGAATATTTTTGAGTTGTGGACGTTATGGAAGATATTCTCTCAGGTATTGGGAAACACTATTCTTCTCCTTCTTTGTATTTCTTTCTTTCTTTCTTTCTTTCTTGCTCTAGCTTTTTCTAACAGCTAATCAAGAAAATAATTTGGAGAAATGTTTTTTTTTTTTTTTTTTTTGGGGTGGGGGGGGGGGGCTTTTTGCCTTTATTTGATAGGAAAGTCAAGAGGGAGACAAGAAAGTGGGGAGAAGAATGGGGGAAGGACCTGTCGCAAAGGGCCATGACCCGTGACCTCTGGGACTATAGCCCCTGAACATGGGAAGCCAACTCAACCAGGTAGATGAATTCACAATTAAATAATAATCGTCATGATAAGACCTAACAGCAATGTTTTTTCCCCCCAGTCGTAAGCAGTGTAAGAGATTATAACTGAAAAATCAGTAATCACGTTAGAGTTATAAATTCCAGACTTTTTGACATATTCTTGCTATCTTGCTGATGCTATTGCATTTTGGCTCCCTGCATTCAGCAGACAGTTACGTTATGAATTAGGTTATGCTGTGTGCATATGTATTTATTTGCATTTAATTTTTCACCTATAGTTCCATTTTTTTTTTTTACTAGCAGCAAGAGGGCAGTGCTGCCATTTTTGAGTGAGTAGGTGTGTCAGCTCAGGGCTGAAGAAGAGAAGAAGGCTTCATTAGTGGGTCCTGGGCAGGTGTGTTTCCTTTGTTCTTCTTTGTGCTGATGACTGCAGAGACGCCACTGGTAGGTTGAGACAGTTTCAACTATATTCAAAGGATAACATTGTAATTGCTAATTTGAGTTATGGTATGTTGGGATGTTAAATGATTGTTGATAGATTAGTTGATTAATATGGGTTTGTGTTTTTTTTAATTTTAAGGTTATCAACTATTGACCACTCAGCCTGATTCCTTTCTGAAAAAAATGAAATAAAAAATGGAAATGAGTGAAGTTGACCAGTGTCCTCTGTGATCGTCAATGCCGAGCCAAGTTTAGGCGGACAATGAAGTTCATGACCCAAATAACTCGACACTGATGTTGGGACGCCACTGGTACTCTAAGAATCAGGAGTTACCAAGTTTAATTGAGAGCTGCAGTCATGTGGGGACCTGGAAAGTCTTGGTGGCACAAAACAGTCTAAAGCAATGAGTGAATTTCAATAATTCTGTTATACTAAAATGCAATTCAGCTACGTGTAGCTATTAAATGATCTACAGCTGCTTTTATTTGCACTCAGCTGGATTTACTGAAATTTGTAAGCTTAGTTTTAGCGAATGTGACTGACTTTTCAGATCAGAAGTGGCTGTGGCCCCCACGACCCCCCCATTGCGCCACCACTGGCTGCCGAGTCCGTGAAGGCTGGATGTCTTCTGGAGAGCTGTGTGCTGTCACTGAGACTACGCTTGCTGCTTCTGGATGGTCACTAAATTCCTCCAAATAGGTTTTTTACTACAAAAAGGTCCCATCTGTGGATGTGGAGCATTGGTAACTGTTTAAAGGTCCCTGTGACAGAGCTGAGGTGAGCAATGCAAATAAAGTAACAGTAAAGCAACAAATTACTTTTGCTGGTAGTTAATTAGCAAACTGTTTAAAAGTTGTTGTTGTTTTTTTTAATTAGTAATTCATCACGATTTTTAAATAGCTTTCCCTCACCGGAATCATAAACACACTGCACCCACCAGCACAAGCCCCCCGTGGTGTTTTAGCCCCAGGCTGCTTTCTGTCTGAATCCCTCCACTAACAGTGTGTTAGCTCAAACATCTGCGGCTCTGTGGTTGCTATAATTTAACTGTGGAGGGTATCTTTTACATTCAAAGCATTTTCAATAAGAGGCACAGTTTTGCTTTTTATCAACAGGATGTTTTCACTCTCTTGCTGCGGCACAACATTGGAAACACAATTAGACACGGTGGATGATTGGAAAGTGGATACAACAGAGAAGTCAATAACAATTTCAAAACAAAACAGATTCCAGAAATCCACTGAACATGATAAAAGAACTATAGAAGAGTTACAAAGCTGAAGTTTAACCACTGATCATTCTACCTCACACTCCTGTTGCTCATCTGTAATTATTGTAATCTTTGATATAAGGTTGCAAAGTGCATGTGAAATGCATTTTGGTAACAGCCTTACGTTTATGTCTGTCTGCAAACTTATCATAAATCATTCATCATGCAAACAGTAAACTGATAATGTGCCATTTTTCATGTCACAGCAGTGCTTCTCGTCTGCCTGGATTATATTTCTTCTGCGCTCTGCCTGTGTGACAATGAGGCACTGTGCCTCGCTTATCAGCACTGAACCACCGTGACAGACTGGAGCTGGGCTGCCCCAAAATGGTGGCATTTACTACCCAAAAGCACAACTGGAGAAGTCATTTACACTGCAGGATGTGGTCTTCTGCACCCCTCCTTTCCAGGTGGGATTTTCTTTCTCGTGCAGCACAAAACAAAGGCCTGGATTGTGCGACACGGTGCGTATCTCTATGGTGTAGGTGTGTTTTTTATGGTCTGTTGTTTAGAATGATTGAATCTTGGAAACAATCTTGGACATTCTCATACAACATCAGTCGCATTTTCTGCGTATCATCAAGCTTTGAATTAAATGAACAGATATCCCAGTGCCTTTAAGTGGATAATACACATATCATACATTTCTATTACAATTTGCAGCCAGTATAAAGCCAGTAATGAATGAAGAGGAACACAGCAACTCCATTTCTAATCTTATACTTTGACTCGAGGGTCATTAATTAACTGAGGTGTATCACTTCATTGCAGAATGCTGCGTTACAGCCATCCTGACATAATCCAGATTACATGTCAGAGGAGAGCGGAGATTACTGCACCATCATGAGTGATTTAGGAATTATCGCACTGATGCAGCCCTGCTACTGCTTCTCTGCTGAAGGGGACCAAATGAAAACAGATGTGACTGTCTGAGAAAGGACAAGGCAGCATGAGAGAGAGCGTTTGTCGTGATTTTTAGGGGTTTGTTTTTGAGCGAGGTCAGTTTTGACTTCAGACTTCACCGTCAAATCCCTACAAATCACTAACAACTGGGTAAATAGCTCAGATTTGTTTGCTTTCCTGTGTTGGCAGTCTGTTAAAAGATAAATCTATTAATTTGAGAGTTTAAAGGGTTTAAATCATGTTTTATTTATTTCAAATATTGGTGACAGGGCAACCTTAATGTTTACATTTGCGTTACTAATTTGTCATTTAGACAATGTGTATTTTTGAAAAATGACTTGAATTGAAAATTTGTTCCTTTATTTCCTTTGTTTTACTTCATTTCTATATATTAAAAAAGCATTTTTTAACTTGTCTGTACTGATTTAGATTTAATATATGTGATTTCATGGTTGTATTTTGTATTTTATCTTCAACACTTTTTAAAAATGCTTTTAAATGTTTGCCAGCACTTTAAATAATGTCTGTGTGTGATAAGCTGCTCTACAAAGAAACTTGCTATATTACTTATTCAGTGTATCATTACACATTAAAAAAAAAAATTAACATAACATCCAGTATAGATTATTTTACATTTCTTAATCCTCTCTCACAGTCACTGATGACAGTTTGCTCACATTTGCTGCAAAATTGCTGAGATGAGGTTGAAAACTCCTGGAAAAGAAACACAATTCGACATTGAACTACGACTTTTTGTAGAATTGTCAAGCTTATATTTCTGAAGTCAAGCAGCAGACTCCACAAATGAAACTTTTTTCTTTAAACTAACTATATCATTGCAGGCCTCGGGTATCTGTGCTCCTCAGCAGTAAGTTTTGACCCCAAACCACCTCCACACATTGTATAATTCCATATTATTCCACCCATTCAGTTCAGCCTCCATAGCAGTAGCAAAGCACTAGATGACATGAAGTTTGTAAAAAAAGGAAAAAAAAAATCCTCTTCTCCAACTCTACTCTGATAATATAACTGTTGGTGTGAAACCAGGCCTACCGGAGTCTATCTGCGGCCATCCTGTTTCCATTACATAACATGGAAACAGTTTCCATTATATCATAAACAACAGGCAGACAGTATTCTCCTCTTGCATTTGTCCCAACTCAGTGTCTGTGATGAGCTCTAATCAGTGGATCATATCTGCGGCCACCTGTTACCTCAGAGCCACAGGTGTGTGGAGGTGACTGAGTAGTAAGAGACACCTTTCTTTTTTTTTTTCTCACCAGCAGGATTTGAGAGGCAAACCAGGAACAACACCTTCCCCTTCTCTTTCACACAGAGAGATAAAAACACCTTTAAATATGCAAACACAAACCGAAGCTTTAGTAGTAGGCTGGTAAAGTTTGCGCAACAATCTAAGGTCGATGCTCTGGCAAATTGTAACTGCCCTTGGGTAGAAAATGAAACCTATAATTGCTCACTGACTGTAACACAGAACGGTTTAAAGTGGCTACTGTTATTTAAAGCTATAGAGACACTTTGAGGTCCTTTCACACTGTGTCGCTGTCCGTGGTATCCAAGTCTCCACAGCAGTGGATAAACGCGTATATGTTAGAGGACACTGAACAAGGAAGCAGCAGCACATGGTTGCACTAATCTCCTCTAACTGAGAGGGTTTAACTAGTCTTCCCATCGTACCACTTGCAGTAGGTTACTTACTCTTGGTGATCTTCTGTAGCCCGAGCACATCCTCGGGCGTAATTACGGTATTTCTGCGCAATTCTTCTTCGGTTGTAACCGGGATCCCCATGTCTGCTGAGTTGCAGCCCTGCTGCACTTTCATGTCCAACAAGAAGAGGGTTGTTGGCTGCTCGACCTGGCAGGGACTGAGGCTTTCTGATGCTCTCGGCGTCGTCGCCGCAGGAGCCGATTTACGTGCGTCGGAGCCTTTTAGTTGCGCGCTGGCTAATACACCGTGCAGCAAACAGGCTCTGTGCTGCTACAAGAATAACTCATTCTCCGTGCCTCCTCCCCTTCTCGATCCGGTAAAAGATAAAAATCAGCCCTTAGCTCCCCTCCCTCCTGCGCTCAAGGCTCACCGGCTCACTCACAAGCTATTTAATCCAAATCCTGTGGCTTTAAACCGACCAGTCGTGCGTGGCTGACCGTCTGCGCGCCTCGTCATCTGCTCATACACCAGAGCGTGCATGGCTGGGCTTTACTCAACAACACTAACTCGTTTCTCACCTCAGAGATGAGCTCTGAGACCCCCTGAGTGGAAGTTAGTTGGTGTCAGATATAAGCTCCTGAAATCATATTGTTAAGCTGCACAGATGTGTGAGAGGAGACGTTTCAAAGAGATGTTGCTTTTACACGACTGTGATCCTCTCTTTAAAAATATAGATTAGACAGGATGTTATGTCTTCCTACAACATAAGGCTAAAATTCAAAATCTTGAGGTTTGACTCCATAGTATTGACCATCTCAATGATATCTTTTTGTGTCCTGTAGTATTCATATTTTTGGTCATCTGAGGCAGCAGGACAACCTGCAAACACAACATTTCTTTTGGCACATATCATCTCCTCATGCTAGAAAAATTTTACCAGCTGTAACAGCAGACAATAAGCAACATTAGTATTAACTTGGGGCTGTATTTTGGCCTCCCACTGAATGTTTACTCCACTTTAAGCTCAAGTTTGGTCTGCACCAGCTCTCAAGGAAAGAATAATCTTTTTAGTTGCTAAATCAGCTGCTATGTTCATCCCTTACTTGCTGCTTTCTGTCTAGTTTGGTGCTGAACAGGTGGTGGTTTAGGAACAGTGATGAACCAAAACAAAGTCAAAAGAGTGAGCTGAAAGGCACAAAAAGGGACTTTGGAGTTGGGTGATAATGCTCACTGCGTTCACTGCTAACATCATGCACCATCTTTTGATCCATAGTTAATTAGAAAAAAAACAATTATGTATGTCAGCATAAAACCATAAACTACACAGGGACATCACGACCTTTAAAGAAAAGGTCACTCAACAAAAAGTGAATCAAAGAATTAGATGAGACCGTTTTTAAGTTATAATCTTTTTATTTAATTTTTTTTTTTCCATTGGAAAGTTGTTTTCCAGATGCCAGCATCCCTGAGAAAGTGTAAAATGCAAATCCTCTGGACAGTCCCATCAATGGGCTGAAACGGGCCAGCCAAAAGATATTCACATCAGCAAAAACACATCCCTGCACAGCCTTCCTTCTCTTATTTAATCACCGGCTGACCAGTATCCTCCTCCGGTCACTGAGGCTTTTGCTTTGTGATGAGGAAACAGTGCCTCCCTCTGCCTAGCATCCTTACTGCAGGGCATGTGCAGAGGTGAGAGCTGTCCATGGTAGTACTTAGCGAGCAGTGATATGATTGTGTGTCCCAGGAGAGGGAGAGCACTCTGATGAACAGGCTTATTGGCATCATTTCAGCTTGAAACATACAGGCAAGTAAATAAAAATTAGAATAAAAGGATTGCAGGTATGGTTGCAAATAGCTTTTAAAACAAACTCATAAACACAAACTATTAAATCTACTGATCCCCTATAATCCCCCTGTTTATAAATATGATAAGTCGTATAATCTTTCTATGAGGTCCGTAGACAGAGAGCATTGCGACTGTTTTTACCGGCGGTCTGTGACAATAAGAATTTCTTAGAATCATTCACAGTGCCACATTTTTCCAAATCCTACCAGTAAAAGCAATAACAATATTCAGAGGCCGTTAGCTCGTGCGGCTAAGCAGCTGTTGTAGAATTTTCCAAGGGATGTTCAGCAGTGTGACAAGCCTGAGCTCTTGCTGTTCCTTCCTGTTTGCCTGCAGTCTGCTGGGCCCCTCTATGCGGTGAACTCGAAGCAGCCTCTACGGTGCGTCTGCATGTCCCTCACCCTGCGGATGGACTGGATCTGGGGGTGGTGGGCTCCCCACTCGTTCCAGTGCTTGTAAGCGCCCATTTCAAGCACGTACTGGAAGCCACGATAGCCAGGATACTGGTAGCCCACCCAGCTGTGGGAGGAAGCAGATGTGGAAAACAGAGATTCACTTATGCTGACCAAAAAGCTGTGGATTCCTTCTCAGTGTTCACTTAGCTCATTCTTAATTAGGTGCAAATACTAGATAGGTCAACCACAATTTTAGTTATGCCTAGGTAGAGCTTTAACAAAGTTTAATTCTGATGTTTTTTTTCTTTTTCTAAAATTCCACTTGATCTGACTCTTCTTGTTCTTGTTTCCTGTATTAGGTCAGTTTCTTTGACCTTCAGGCCTCCCTAGTCTACCATGTAGATAAAAGCAACCCCAAAACAGTCAAACAGCAGTCACTTACGTTCCACCGGTGACCTGGATGCTGGCGACACGGTCCTGGAAGCCATAAGACCACAGACTAGGAATGTCCTCATCGCACACTTCCATCTTGCGACCCTCAAAGTTTGTACATTCAAACAGGCAAATCTTGTGGTCCTGGGGGTCCTGGAGGAGAAATACAACACATTTCATTTAATTAGTAGTTTCCTACTGTTGATGTTGTAGGTGCAGCTTCCTGGTCCTCTCGCTGTCCTAGATTTTAGCCAATAAAGAGATTAAAGCGAAGTCTGTGAAGTGTTGTGTAATATTGATTTAAATAGAAAACTCTGAATACTTGTGATTATCTAGATTTTTTTTTTTCAATCATCAATTTGAATCATAGTGGCACGGAAATGTCAGCTTATAAAAGCTTTAATCCAAAAATACAGGCAGCGAAATGAGTCTATAAATACTCATATAACTGCAACCATAAAAAGCACTTTCCTCTGTGCCAATAAAAGATGGATGAGAGGATGAGAGGTGCAAATGGAGGTTGACAACAGAAACAAAATCAGCACCAGTAGCCACAACAGACAGGAAATGCAGCATAGAAAAAAAAAAAGACACAATGCTGGCCGACCACGACTTACCATTCGGACGGGCCTGACCGACATGATGCGATCACACCTGTAGCTGTTGGACCAGGTGTCCCAGCGAGGATACTCTCCCTTCTCCAGCATGAACATCTCACCGGTCATGTTCTGCTGCTCATAACCCACCCAGCTGGACACACACACACACAGACAGATGTGTCACTTTCAGTCAGTTAAAGAGAGGATATAATGTTCATTAGCACATATTTGAACGGCAGCTTTGGTGACTTACGGTCCACACTCTACCCTGATGGAGCCGATTCTTTCAAAACCCTTCTCACACAGGTTACGGGACTCTCCGAACAGGTCCATCCTACGGCCTTGGAAGTTCTCGAATTCATAGAGGTATATCTGAAAAGCAAAACAAACTAAAGGTGTTCAATTCTCAAGATAAATATTTGGGATTTCTAATTAAAGGATTTTGTAGTTTACTATGATTAGGAATTTTTAAAAAAAAACAACTCTACCTTGTGATTGCGCAGCCCAATGGCAGAGTGGCTGCCAATGCTGCCCTGAGCACCTGAGTGAGACATGATCAGATCTGGAGAAAAAAAGGGAAGAAAACAAGAATTTCTCTTTATTCATTAATTCCTCTAACATTCAGAAGCATTTGTAACAGCTGCCCAAAGGCCTTCTGCAGATGTCATGAACTGATTTTTATGCAAAAAAAGTCAATATGAAAATGTTTACATCTTTAAAACAAGAAAAACGGTCTCAAACGCTTGTTGTTACTCAAAAATGTATCATTAAGTAACTTTTCTAATTATTTTCATGTATATATATTTTTTAGACGTAGCTGAATTGGATATAATTCATCTGCATCCTTAAGAGGAGTTAACTAACACTGACCACACCCTTCAGCACCAATAATACTCTTTTACACCAATACAGTGTCTTTAAAGTTGTACTGACACATTTCTACATCACTGGGAACCAAATTAGGACTAAAACAGCCAGAAACCAGCCAAAAATTGAATTTTAGGTTGCGTTAAGATGTTCAAGTATGCTGTAACATACTTTACCAAAATCCCAAACTTTGTCTTACTTTGTATTTTCCCATCCAATTTAAATTTTAAACACGAAATGGATAAAATTTAAACAACAATGTGCATGCAAACATTGCTTAGACATTAATGTAGGAGCATAATTCTGTGTTTCCTGCAAAACTGGAATATGACTGATCATTTCTGAATGTATAAAAATCTCATTCAGCCCTCAAAGTCTCAGCTCCTAACATTTTGTTTTTCCCCTCACAAGAACCAATATATTCAATAACTATCCATAAAACACTAATGTGTCAAAACCTGCCCTGATCCATGTTTAAGAATGAAATATTAGACACAGCCTTGTATCTTTCTTATTTAATATACCTCAGCCTGACAAGTGACTAAAACATATGATAAAACCCTGCTGCTGCATTTTATGTCAATATTTCACCTACTCAGTCCAAAATGAAGTTTTGGTTCTGTTAGTCCAAAGTATGAGCAGATAGAAAAAACTATTCCCCCTAAAATCCAATGACAGTTTTTTTTTTTTTTTAAAGAGTTAGAAGATCTTGAAATAGAAACTTACAGTTACAATTGAAGCCTGAAACGGACCGATCTTTGGAGAAAATGATGGACGCAGGCCTTGTGAGTGGGGATATATATATACATTCACATCCAGCCCGAGTGTAATAAGGCAGGATTCTGACTTCTGATTGGCTGGGAGCTGTTTGGAGTGCGGTGTGAGGTCAGAGGTCACACTGCTTATCTGTGGACAAGTCGTGCTGACTCAGCGGCCCGTTTTGTTGTCCAGCACCATTGTGGCCGACCGTGGACAGTCACTGCCATCAGCAGAAAGTTTGCATGCTTTGACACACGCGCTCAAACACACAGTTACTTTCGCAACCACGACTCTCATACTCTGTCTCTAACTTTCTTTCTAAATCCACTTCATATCCTTCCCGTTTGTCATTTTCTCCAGTTTCTCTGTGGTTTGTTTTGTCTCTCACCTCCATATTCTCTCTTTTTCTCTTGATCCTTGGTGCAGGCGGTCTAAGCCTTTGAGCCCTGTGTGTGTAATGTGCTGACTGCAGAAGCGGCATCTGTCTCTTTTGTTTAGACAGGCGAGTTTTGGACGCTCTTTTGCGTATTATAGTGCTGGAAAGGCTGTATCCATACAGACACATTGCATACAACTCACTCCACACATCTACACATGCGTGTCATATGCACAAATGCATTCGTACATGCACAGTGGCAAGCACTGAGAGATTATTTTCTGGTTGTGATTTGTGAAAATAGACCAGAAATAGGCTGTATTAAATGCCTTTTCAGTTTGCACATTCACATTTTGCTTCTTTTTATGTGTTCCAAATGTACACGTCGGATGTAAAATCACTTCTGGATCTCTCACACCTGTTGCACTGTGATTTTATAAGTGCCTGCAAAATTAATTGTAGGTGTGTTTTCTTAGCCTCACAAGACAACACATCTTTTTTTAAAATTTCATTTATTTGGAAGAGAACAGTGCATATTAATGAACACATACAGTACTATGACTTTGTGTAAATATGCCAGATTTAGCCTTAAACTTGTTTCCATCTGTAGTCGTCGTTATTAGTAAAATAATAAATATATTGTTTCATAGTAATCATAATCTAAAAAGGTGCACAAACAAAAGTTAGCACCACAATAAGTAGAACATTTGTAAAAACAAACAAACAAAAAAAAAAACAATTAGGAAGATTTCATACACACATATTGGATTAGAGATCAACCACTTTTGTTTTAAAAAGCTGAAGGTAGAACATTCTCTAATCCCAGTATGAAGACTGTTCCAACTTTTACAAGCCCTTACAGACAAAGAGGTTTGACCTGTAGATGTTCTCCTGAACTGGATCTCGTAGTCTCCTCTGCAGACCGATCTTTTAGGCCCACTAACAACATTACTCTTTTGTTTAAAGAAGTTTTTAAGAGGTGGTGGGGATATATTATTAACAGTTTTATAAATTAAGTAAGCATATTTAAATATTTTAAGATTTTTATAATTCAGTAGATTATACGTCTCTAGAAGAGCAAAATGATGAAATGAGTACGTTTTAGTTTGTTTTTTTTTTTTTTGTTTTTTTAGCAAACACTATTTCTCTATAGGTTTTAGTGGGGTAACACTGGCAAGACACCAAATTACAAAAAAAGCACTCAATATGAGACATGATCATGGAATGGAAATAAGATTTTGCGGCATCATTTGATATATAGGGTCTAATTTGCCTAAAAGTTTGCAGGTTGAATGTTATAGTGTTAGCAACTTTTTTAAAGTGTTTTTTGAACGATAGTCTGGAGTCTAATACGACCCCAAGATACTTAAAATAGGACACAAATCTAACACCTGAGCTATTTTAGACACAGAACAGATAGAACAAGAAGAACAGAAAGTAAGTTAGATCAGTTTCACTCTTTCAAAATGTGCATTTTCTCAGACTATTCAGTTCTTGCATGAGGCCTTTTACAAGAAGCTTCCTAGATTACTGATGCTTTCATTACCTGTATGACAAAAAACCACATGCCTCCCTACCTGCACACCTGGGGGCACATCTCCTTTCATAAGATTTATTTAAAATGTTAAACGACCAGCATTTTGTGTCTGTTCCTTTTGTACTTAGATGTTGCAGTTTTCTATTCACTTTTGCAAGTCGTGCAAGATTTACAGAAAGAGCAGCTGTATTCTTTATACTAATGTTGTCAGCTTACAGCAAATACAAAGTAACATGGTGTACAATGTCAACACAACCTCTCATTGTGTTTATGGGTGTGACACAGTCATGAGTTTGGTTAGTCACTCAGGCGCTAGATCTGTAGATGTTAAAGCTGCAGACGTGAATTTCATACATGCTTGTTAGCTTCATGCTAAACATAGGGGAGGATTTTTTTTTCAACATAAAATATTACACCTACATATAAATCCAAAGAGAGAGTGAAACACGCTTACAAAAAAAGGGGAAGTGATAATTGCGATCACAGTTTGCTTTCAAACAAACCTCAAAAAAGTATTTTATTTCCTACTGACTTAGAGTATAAAGAGTTTAGAGGACTGCTTTGAAGACAGAAACCCATAGAGAAACTTAAATGAAGTGCAAGAAGAATTTCAAATTTCAAATATTTATAAATGACTGATAGAGCGGGGGGGGGGAAGGACAATGTGTGCTGTAAGGTCAGGTGTCATTGACTTGCCTCAATGGGCGTGCATATATGTGTATGTGTGCGAGTTCCTTTGTGTGCTCTGAATGTATATGTGTGTGCATGAACACGCCTTTGCATGTCCGTGTCTGTCCATGACTGTGGGCGTGCATGGTTGAGCATGTGTGTATATAGGACTGAGTGAAAAGGTGAAAGGACCAGACATGTGGTGTCAGTGGTGGTGGACATGAAGCAAAAAGCGGAGATGGAGCACAGCTCAGTGTGGAGAGAAGTCAGTATGTAAACTCTTAAAAGACTAGTCTGGCATTTTTATTGTGCAGCTTTTTCAATTAAGTGTCTATTTGGATTAGTAACATTTTATTTATATAGTACCAATTTCCAGCATATTTTATCTTGTAGCACTTCACATAGTAAGGTGAAGGCCTTGCAAATTTTCAAACAGGGAACCCAACAAATCCCAAAGTTCTCTTTGAAAAAGTGTTTGATCCAATATTTAAATACCACTTTAAGTTTAAATGCCAAAAAGTGTCTGCTTTTTTTTCTGTTTCTTGCTTTCCACTTGAACTCTAAATGTGCTTCTCCCTGTGCACCAGTAAGACTGTGATGATCTGTTTCCTGGACCAGGCTGTGCCAGGACTTGGTCCGGCCCACTGGTCATGGACCATTTGAAACTTGTGCTTATCTGCATTGGGCACGGTGCCCTCCATCCAGTCCCACTGCAGCTAACTAAACCCCAGCAGCTCAGTGCTGAACAATGACTGGAACAGCAATGTGCTGACTCCTGCCCCGACCCACAGGCCCAGCTGCTTTTCAGCACCAACATGTATAAATAGGTCCGTTTACTCTGGGGTCAGGACATCGTCTTTGTGGAGCCCCCCGTGAGCACTGAACAGCTATTCTTTGGGGCCGGTCAGGTAAGCCCTCTATCTCAATCCATTCAGACTACAGCCTTGTGCAGACCATTGTCACTTTACATTTTTGTGTCTTTTCTTTTGTTGTTTCTGCTGAGCCATATAAATGTATAGACTGACAAAGACATGCATATGCATAGACATACTGGGAGAGCACAGGGAGAGCAAGTATGCACTGAGAGGACATCAACATGTGGCTGCAGCAAGTGTGATCATGTAGTCAGCCTTAAGAAACAGTTCAAACTCCAACATGTACAACATTAAGTGTTTTATGATACACTTTATACAATAACATTAGGTGACAGATGAATAAACAGGCAGACATGAAACATCCAGTTGTGACAGTAAATCAACATCTTGCATACATGACACTGACAATAAAAAACAGCTGGAACATACATTCCTGTTTTAAGTGCCTTCGATACTCACATAAAAATGATTCTCCCTCTCTCTACCCTGAAGATAAATCAACACTGAGATACACAGTAGCATGGCTCTGAATAATCCCAACCCACTGGGACCATGGAAGGTGAGTTTGATGCCGTGTCACGGATGATTAGCAAAAGCAGATTACATTTTTTAATTTCATGCCTGGCCTGATAATGTCAATGGTGTGTGCGACTGTGCGCACATCAGTGTGTGCATGCTGCATGTGCATACTACATGTACGCATTTGTATCCTCCCCAGATCACAGTTTATGACCAGGTGAACTTCCAAGGCAAGCGTCTGGAGTTTACCTCAGCCTGCCAGAACATCATGGAGTGTGGCGTTGACAACATCCGCTCCCTCAAGGTGGAGTGTGGAGCGTAAGTTGAACAAAGAAGCTCTGCAAAACCCAAAATCCATACAAGAGGAAATGACATCAACTTAAAATGTTGCAGCAGATATATTTAATCTACATATTGATGCAATGTTGCCATCATAGCCTTTTGTAAACCATATGTCAATACTTGCACCTAGCAAGGGCAAACAAGCCTTCACATATTCTCTTGCTTGCTCAGTGTTTGTTTTAGACAAGCTGGTTAAAACCACCCCAAGATATACTATAAAAAAAACCAAAAACATCTGTGTAACATCTGCTAATCATTCTGTCTAACCAGTGTCCCAGTGATCCAGTAACGTTCTGTGTGTGCCTGTGTGCTTGTTGGTGACAGCTGGGCAGGATACGAGCACTCCAGCTTCTGTGGACAGCAGTTTGTGTTGGAGAGAGGAGAGTATCCTCACTGGGAGTCATGGAGCGGCAGCAACGCCTACCACATCGAGAGGATGATGTCCTTCCGCCCCATCTGCTCTGCTGTACGTTTCTGTCCCAGACCAGCAGCTTCTGCTTTCTCTCTGTCAGACTTTCAGATTCAGAGTTAAACAAAAAACACAAAATTTGACTCATGAAATTGACTCATTTGTGCACAGAACCTTCTTGTGTGACGAACTTGCAGTGTGACTTAAGTCAGCTGCTGGCTGCAGCTAGAAATAGACTATAGCAGAGTGTAATCATATATAGTATAATAATTTGGATATCTCACATAATTTAAATGGTTGCGATTGAAATTGATTTTCTGACTGAGAACCTTTTGAAGTAGTGACTATCAATGTAAAAGTTAACTCAAGTCATTGTAACCTCACTACTATGTAGTTCATATACATCTAGCACCGTATATCTGCTGTTGTTTTGTTTAATATATCTGACTCTACATGTGCCTCCTTGTATCATGTGCACACAGAACCACAAGGAGTCCAAGATGGTGTTGTTTGAGAGGGAGAACTTCATGGGGCGCCAGTGGGAGATAAACGACGACTACCCCTCTCTGCAAGCTATGGGTTGGGGCAACAACGAGATTGGATCTATGCAAGTTCAGAGCGGCGCGTAAGTCTCAACCTAAGATGGCTCACTCCAGATTTGTGAAAAGCTGTCATACATGTAGAGGATAACAAATGTAGTCAACCTTACCTACACGGATTAAATATAATAGAAAAATGGGTGTAAAGTAAATAAAACACTGGGCAGCGTTACTGTCTAAATGTTATTGAAAGTGTTGCATTGCACAGACGACACTGCACACTTCAATTTGCTTCTACAATTGCAAAAATGATGTATCACCCAGCTTTCTGCAGGCTGACATACCCACAACCAATTACCACTCCCCAAATGAAATTTCATCTTATATAATTACTCCAATTTATTTGTGATCATTTAAGCCTCAAAAACACACAGCTCTAGTTTCACTTTATGTATAATACTCATAGAAATATAAACTATTTTTATTTTTCAGCCTTTAGGTTGTGTTTAAGTGATGCTCATAGCTTATATACTATTCTAGTTGTGTACTTATCTTGTTTATACATTATGTTTTAAGCCTTGTTTTGTTGTTGTGACTTTAGTTCCCCTCTTGAAGTTTTTCATATGTTACACTGTATTTTCAGTGAAAAAAAAAACTTTCCAGCCGTATTTACTGGACTGATTGGAGACTTTAGATTTTCAGTGGCTGATAAGAGACTTTTGATTTAATCAAATGCTTTAACAAATTTATGTCTCTGCCTTTTACGTATCAGTGTGTTTGAGTTCAGTGAGTGAATGAACTCTGCAGTATTTTCTTGCTACCTTTTCCTCCTGTAGTTTGAAGTGTGGCCACATACTTCTCATAAATCACTTGTCTCCTCTCCTCCTCCAGCTGGGTGTGCTACCAGTTTCCTGGTTACCGTGGCTACCAGTACATCATGGAATGCGATCGCCATGGCGGCGACTACAAACATTACAGAGAGTGGGGCTCCCATGCTCAGTCCTTCCAGGTGCAGTCGCTGCGTCGAATCCAGCAATGAGACCTGCAGCTTCCTCTCCCGACCTCTCTGTCTTTACCTCCTCCAGATCCTCCTCCTCTTCCTCCCTTCACCCAGTCATTCCAGCACCTTCGGGTGCTTAACCATCAACATGTTTACAGCACTTTTGTTCTGTTGCCAAATGAAAATAATTAGAAATGATGGGAAGAGTTAAGGAGAGAAAAAAGAGCCACTGAAGAGAAGCTCCTGACTGACTGATGCCCCACTGAGTTAAGAAGAGGAGGACGTTAAAAGGCCTCAAGGCGGCAGCAGGGTGACTCAGAGTCAATGCTCCTCATATTTGTGGGTAAATATGGTGCTACCAGTGATCAATAATGAAGAATGGGCAACTTAAAATAAACAGAAATACAAGAGTCTGCTGCTAACCTCCATGCTGCTCAGTTGTGATTTATTTTCATTCTTTGTTCTGTTTCTGTTCTGCTGCAGTACATCTTATCTCAGACTTTTCTATTGGACAGTTGCTATTTACAGTTAAGAGATGCTGTATTCGCATGAAACACTTTTGTTACCCCTTGCTTCATACCTTAAGCATAAAAATGAACTCTAGTGTACATTGCTCCAAGCTTGAGCATGTAAACCAGAATTTTTCTTGTCTACCGTGTTCAAGTCTTACAAATAAACCTGCATTATGAGATATGAAAATAATGGATGCACAGGTATCAGCAACAAACATATCACCAGTGCCGCTGGTTAATTATGTAAAACATGAGCAGCAGCTTCATTGGAACAGAGGACGTATGCTTAAATCAATAACCAAAGCATAACCACTGTGTACACAACATCACTGAAAGGAAACCACACGATGAAATTAATTTCCACATAGATTCCTAATGTTTAACTCGAGCAAACTGAGAACAGTTAGCCATTATAATATGTAAATGGAATCAGTAATCTGTAAACGGAACCAAAAATCAGGTCTCCATGAGAGAGAGTGCAGTCTGCTTATGGGTTTTTTGTTGCTCTTGTTTTGTTCTTTTTGCTCGTCTGTCAAATTAAACAATCATAGCAATAACAACTGACCTGCCCCAGTGCATGATGGTAAACCACAAGGCCCTCCTATTCCCAGCACACTGCAGGATGTTGAAGCTCTCTGGCTGGTTTAGCTGCAGTTCAACTGAAGCCGTGTTGATTCTGACACAACATTCAGGTCTAGTTTTGTACTCAGCTGTGCTTTTACGGTCCTGAACCACAGTTATACAGATGCAAAGCAACAAAGTGGCATCGGTTTCAAAAATCTTTTACAGACAACTTATTTTTTAAGTTCAGGTAAATAGTCAAATAGGAATATTTGGGAGTGTTTGAAAGTGTACTGAGAACGTGTAAAAAACAGAAGATATATATAAAAAAAAAGAAATGAGAAACATAACATTGTTCTTCCACGCACTTCCAAAAGGGAAAAAATTTGCTTCTCACATCTCTCAAAAACAGAGGCAAGGTTTAGTCTTTAAATGACGGCATTAAGAACAAACGGTCCTTCAAATGTTAATGTAATTTTTCATGAACTTTAAAAATAATGTAACAATATGCAAAATCTGGGCACCCTACTATCACACTAATACCTCTCCTCCCACTCCTTGGCAGATATCACAGCTTGAAAACTGAGCCAGCTAAGAGTCTTTCTGCTCTTGATTCATGAATTGTCACCCACTCTTACCTGCAGAACACTCCACATTCTGAGATATTTTTATGCAGCTACGTTCACATCAAGGGACGTGTGATTTGAAAGCTTCAGCTTGTGTTTCATGAAGTGGCTCATAGTGGATTTTGAGTTCTGCTTTGGATCATTGCAATGTATCCACTCAACCACAGATCAGAATTTCCCCACCCTCATGCTAAACAGTAGCGGCAACTGGTGGACTGTTTTCTCCAAACATATTTTTGACACAAAAAATTCAGTTTTAACTGTCCTCAGAGCTTGTTTCCAAAATGAATGTGGCTTATCCAGATGCAGCCTTGTATCTTTCAGACACTGTCCTTGTTTGTTGAGACTGATTGTTCCTTCTGATGGTTCTTTCATGTACACTTTGTTCCACAATTACCCCTAACCACCATTTCTTAATGACATTTCAAACAACAAAAATACCAAAGCTGGAAGCCCTCTGAAAACTTTACATAGTATTCCGCTGCTTTGTAGGCATTTGGTAGATTGATTTAGATCCTCAGTCGGCTGCTTTCAATCGATAGTAATTGAATGTTACCACAGGGTTTGATTTGTAATGTCATGTACCTGTTACATTGTCAACTACAGACAAATAAAGTCAACAAAACCCATTTTGTACAGTATGTACTGAAGAGAGCCTGGTCAAAGGTTTTTATTTGGAAAAGGAGGGCACGGTTGCACTTCCTCAATGACCTAAATGAGTCATCAGATTCCCTGTGAGCACAACAGTATATTGCTTGTCAACTTCATCTAATAGAGCCAGAAAATCTATTGTTTTTGATATTTAGAGATATTTACAGTGCATTGATATGGCTTTTGTTCAACAGTAAGTGTTATTTAGTTTGTTGGTGCTTAAAAGTGATTCTCCACAGTGTCAGTTTATTGATTATTCTCAGGGTTAAGGAGTGGTCTTTGTCAGTGGGCAGAACCTTGAACGTTATTGGTTCATTGATCCACAGCTTTCCCTGATATTTCCCTGGACCTTGGCTCACAAGTTAAGAGAATCACCCATCAAATTTAGAACATGGCTGTTTTTTGCATGATTGCTGGGAATAAATTTGATTTTTTTTTTCTTCCTCGTACTGTTTTCTAGATAATTTGTGAAGTACTGTATACATACAGTGTTTCAATATTTTTTTTCTGGTTTCTCTTAGATCATTGATTTTGTGGAACGAGGAAAGAGCAAATGAAAAAATACTTTTATTCACCTCAGACAGGCGCGCTGTAAGACACAGAGTCACAGTTTATAAGCTACAATCAAGTCATTAGTTACACAGCTGAATGATGAGCTCCACAGTTGGATATTATTTTACTGTAGAGGTCTGATCTGTTTACTGAGGCCCAAATATTTTTCTGTCATGTCAAATTTTTCTATTCAGGAGATTTTTGTGTTGATCATTTCACAGCAGGATATTTGCAGCAGTCACATTAGCGTGGGTATGGATAAAATTATTCCACCTCTCTCTATCAAAATATGGCAACAGGTCACTGAGTAATACTGAAAAGACATTTTATGTACTCATAAGTTTCATCCATCCATTATCTATACACTGCTTAATCCTCACGAGGATCGCGGGGGGGCTGGAGTCTATCCCAGCTGACTTAGGGTGAAGGCAGGGGACACCCTGGACAGGTCACCAGTCTATCGCAGGTCCACACTTAGAGACAGACAACCAAAAACACTCACATTCACACCTACGGACAATTTAGAATCACCAATTAACCTCAACATGTTTTTGGACTGTGGGAGGAAGCCGAAGAACCTGGAGAGAACCCACGCTGCACAGGGAGAACATGCAAACTCCACACAGAAAGATCATGGGTGTCCTCACCGGGACACAAACTGGCGAACTTCTTGCTGCGAGGCAACAGTGCTAACCACCGTACCACCTTGCAGCCCTGAGTAACATTAAGTGTAAAATAGTAAAATATAATATATCAGAATGTGATTTCTTCATTCTTAGACTGACAGAAAAGTGTTTGAAACTGGCTCCTAAACTACAAAAAATTTCAAAAAAAAAAAAAATATAGTCAGTAAGTAAGTACATTACATTACTATGAACTTTTACCATTGGAGGAATTGCTGGTTGGCTTGAGTTGTACACTGTATTATGATAGTCCCCTGTATAATGATTTTTTGTGGTACATTCATTTAATAACATTTAATACTTTAGGCTTGCTATTAGGTTATAGAAAATGCTCACAATATGAGCCAATCAGCAAGTTTGATAGTCTGATAAAAGCATGACTAACATTATGCTTCTAGAGAAAATTGTTTACTTCTGCTTTCCAAAATCAGAAACTGAAAAAGCATGCCATATTATACTATATAATAAAAGGATTTAACGGTTCCATACTGCATGCTATTATGGAATGTAGTCTGCAGTATGTAGCACAAACTATATGCTATGTTTGTCAGTAGTAGTAGGTATGCAGTTTCGAATACAGCCATAGCAGGGCATGTGAGCACAGCTGAGTACGAGCAAGTGGTGATTTTGGACAGAGGGCAGGTTTACACTGCCAGCCATTGACTGAGGCCAGCGAGGTCCGCTCAGTGATGGGATAGAGTGGGTTAGAAGCCACAGCTAAAATTAAAATACAGTGCATGTGCAAGTTTTTCTCTTTTATTGGAGCAAGCGGTAAATGATTTGTGTAGCGTGGGGTGAAATGTGAGTTGAGCATTGAGCGATAGTGAGCTGAGGGCCTTGAGGAGACTCTGCTGACATTCCCTGACCAATAGTTTTCACCCAGCCTCTATACTGCAACAGCCTAACAGAATGTCTGAAATACAGCTTTTGATTTTATTGTGCCACCCCAAGATTTTCACTGAGCCCATGTGGCCACCCATACAAAAAAATCTGGAGGCGCCTCTGACTTTGGGAGCTGTGAAATTGTGGAAATTCAGGTTAAAAAAACAACAAACAAAAAAACACAAAGAACTTAAGGTGGAACTCCTCCGGCCCACCTTAAAAAGTGACGCCACTGTGAAGCCCCGCCCCCGTGAGGTGAACGGAAGAAGATGGAAACAGGGAGGCCGGACTGGCTGTGACAGCGAAAATACGTCCGTCGTTACGGAGCCAAAACTCAAAATACTCGACCCTAGTGTTTGTTTTTCATCTCTTAACTCCGCATGGTGTAGTGGGAGAAGGTCAGTCAACATGGGACCCATCTGGGAGCATCTGTCGGCGACGCTGAAACTACGGCTGTCACTTTTCCTTCTCCTTCTTGTTGTCTCCCCCGGTGACGCCAGGCTGCGCCGGACACGCAGCACCGAGCCCTCGACGGAGGAAACTTACGACAAATACTACAATTATGTTGAACTAACCGAACGTTTACTTTCATTAGCCCAGAAATACCCTCACATAGCGAACCTGTCGAGCATAGGTCAGTCTGTGGAGGGCAGGGAGCTCTGGGTGATGCGGATCACCGAGGACCCCAACAGGGACACACCGGGGAAACCTAAATTTAAATACGTCGGGAACATGCACGGTGACGAAACCGTGTCCAGGCAAGTGTTGGTTTACCTTGTGGACTACCTGCTGAGTAAATATGGGGAAGAGCCGCGTATTACAGAGCTGGTGAACAGTACGGATATTTACATTATGCCCAGCATGAACCCTGACGGCTTTGAGAGGTCCAAAGAGGGGGACTGCAATGGCGACAACGGGGGTCGAAATAATGCCAACAACAAGGACTTAAACAGAAGCTTTCCTGACCAGTTTGACGGGACGACAGTCAAGCCAGAAGACGTCCCCGAAGTCACGGCTGTGATCAGATGGATCCAGGAGAAAAAGTGAGTGGAGATATCTTGTATACAAAGAACCAAACCTAAACAAGTTCCAACCGTGTGTAAAATAACTTGCAAGCAAATTCTTAGATTGACAACATCTTCATTCAAAGTTACAGGCCCATGAAGTGCATAGGGGCACTCTGAGCCTTCAGAACTTTATACACAAAGGAGATCATCACGACGTGTTCAGGAAAAACATGTTTTAACTCTGTTACAAACTGCAACCCAGTCAACTTCACATCCACTCCAGGTGTTATAATCTGAATCCAAAATCTCACTTTCATTCATCATGTTTTTTTTTTTTTTTCATAGACACCTTTGAGCAACAGTATCTTGGGATGTATTATAGTTTCATTAGCAAACCTACACCAGTTTAATGTCTAAAGCATAAAGTCATAGAAACAAACATCGGTACCCTGGATGTGTTATCTGTTTTCTGATGATTCACCTGAGAAAACTCTAAAAAGTGTGTTTTTGTCAAACTTTCAAGGATTGTATCACCATGTGGGATAGGTGGCTGGTCAAAAACAGGTTATAACATATGAAAGGTCTCATTTTGACCTACTTTTTAAACAACGCTTGTCTTCTAGCCAAGATCCCTTCCGTGTCATAAATTACTTTACAATACAGGCAACACTTTTGTCAAGGTGTAGTTGGAAAGTCTCCAAGATCCAGTAAACACTTTTCAGACAAAAATAAAAAAAATAAAGCCAAACATGTAGTGGTTCCAGATTTTAAATGCAGAGAAGAATCTGTTTGTTTCTTTGTCTTGGTTTGCATTTAGCACAATTGGTTATATGCATGCTACTGGTTGAACATAACAGGAAATGTCAAGACATGACATTTGGTTCAGGAAATTGTGGTTGATAATTCCCCAATTTTCAGTTATTTCACAGAAGTATAGACATATCAAGGCCTCAGAGGTTAAAAGGTGTGACTCAAAGTTCCCAAGAAGTGCCGTCCTGTAAGGCTGCAACTACTCATTATTTTAATTATTGATTTATCTGTGTGTCTTAGATTATTTTCTCTACTAACTGATTAGTTGTTTGGTGTATAACATGTTAGGAAATGGTAAAAAAAAAAAAAAAAAAAGCTCCAAGACTGCTGTGCTAAAAGGGAACATACCTCTAAACATTACATTTCAGTATTTGTTTCCCTGTTACTTCACAGTGAAATCATGTCCTCCTGAATTTTAAATGATAGGCTCATAATATTTTAGGTTTATACTTGTACAAAACTTGCCCACGTGCACACTAAAATGTTGAAGTTGGGGTTAGTTAAAAATCCACCATGTTCTTTCAATCTGAAAATATACAACTGATGGTTAGTTAAAGATAACAAAAGGCATCAGCCAAAGAAAGTAGGTATCACCCAGATTTTACAGTGTTTTTATTGCTAAACTCCTCTTCACTTTACATCTGGTATGGACATTTGTGTTGTGTGTGCATATAGAACATGAAACTATACTTCAAGGGTGCTGCTAAGATCTGCTGTTGTCTCTCTAGATTCGTGCTGTCGGGAAACCTGCACGGTGGCACCGTGGTTGCCAGTTATCCTTTTGATGACTCAGCTTCCCACCAGCGACAAGGCCACTACAGCCAGTCAGAGGACGACAGTCTGTTTCGTCACTTGGCTCTGGTATATGCCCAGAACCACTCTGTGATGAAGACCGGTCAGCCCTACTGTCCTGATGCCCTCTCAGAATCTTTTAAAGATGGCATTACAAATGGGGCACAGTGGTATGATGTACCTGGTAAGACAATCAAGTTTCACTGTTTTTAATTGATTTGTTTAGGAAATGTTTTCTATGAATGTCGGTATTTCATAATACAAGGAAGAGTTACAAGCTCTGGCTCTGAGGGCTGATAAGAAATAAAAACATTATAGATCATACATCAGTAGCCCTGTGATAGACTGGCGGCCTGTCCAGGGTGTCCCCTGCCTTCGCCCTAAGTCGGCTGTGATAGGCTCCAGCCCCCCTGCGACCCTAGTGAGGATTAAGCGATGTATAGATAATGGATGGATGGATCATACATCAGTCATCGCACCCTTAAAAATCTGTCAGAGAAGTGAGAGTGTCTAGCAGGAGTCCAGCTCCATGGATCATGCCCCGTTTGTTTCTTATTAACCTGAGTGGTCTCGTTATTTGTTGCTCAATGAGGAAACAGCTGTCTGAAATGAGACACCTCGGATTTGTATTGCCATGGAGACTAGTTCAGTGGAATTGGTGTGTTTCCTTGAATGAATGCCTATTGTTGTCTAAGATGTTTATCCAGTAATTATTCTCTAAAGCTTTATATTTGTTGAGGGCAGCCGGGATGCAAAACTCCTCTTCAAGGTGTTTGTTCAGACAGTCTTACCAACATTGCTGTTTAACATCCCTCTCATCTATGGGCCAAGAATGTCATTATTGGATCGTTTGCACCTTGTGTAGGTTAGTCTACAAGCTACAGCCTGTTTGAGGAAACAGAAAGCAGAAATTATCTTTTACACAGGGTTTTTCTTCCATCTCAGATCACAAGTATAGTTCTCTGCATTTTCTGAGCAGACTTGTTTTGTTGATATTGTATTTCAGAAAGCAGCTTGGTCTAAAGCTGCTTAGAGTCAGCCTCTCAGCTAATAAGCTTGGTCAGACGACAATGAAAAGTGGGTTCATTGTTACTTTGACTTCTCTTGTGCTTCATTTAGTTGCATTGTGTAACATGTTAAAGTGAGTTTAAAAATTCTCTAATACAGCTACAAACTCTCAAATAGAAACTGCTTTCTCAACATTTGCAATTTGGAATGACCCAAAATTCATCTGTAGTCACTGAAACAGTTAATAATGTGGCTTGGGTTTGGGTTTGCCAGATGTCGAAATACTGAAAGGCTCAGAGGGAACTACTCATCATGTTTGTCTGCCAAAGCCTGTAATTATTGAAAGTGTTCGAGCAGTAGACAGACTCGTTGTGGCCATTTTAAAGGCCGCCGGCTGAATCTTTTGACTCATCTTATATACTGGATATGTATCCCTGTCCTCTGAATAAGCATCTCCTACCAGCTAAACTAAATGCAGCTTGTATAACACAGGTTCAGAAACAGCTTTACTCTGCACCTCGTAGGCAGAAACTTGATCATCGTGCTTTGCTTTGTTGGTCTGTCCGAGGGGTTGGGAGGTGGTGATGTAGGAGTCCGCGGCATCTGGTTACCACACTGCTTGTCCTGTTGAGATGTACTGTGTTGTAGTAAATTGCAGGTAACAATGGAGTGTCTTTCAATTTGTGATCCCACAGAGTAGTGGAGGTACATTACAATTAGGTGATCAAATTAAGTTCAAAATCACGTTGATCCATGCAGACAATATTTAATTTAGTCTGGTTTTGAAAGTGTGTTTTATGAGGGTAATTCTGAGTTTGCGGTGTTCCAAATTGTCAGTATGAGGATGATTCCATGTATGACAACAGCTGTTTGGGAGAAATCAACAGGCTGTAATCAAAAGTCATTAGAAGTGTTTGAAGAAATAAATGTAATTAAACTAGCACACAATGTCAGGATGCCTTAAAAATAGCATTTATACCTGTTCAGGTCACTTTAAACTTGACATTATGTCATTAGATGTCACACTGTTTGTTTCCCATTAAGAGTACCTGGATCTGTTAATCATTACCACAGCCTTGAGAACAATCTTGAATGGCAGTGAGAATTTGGTTTTACTTATCTTTGCAAAGTCTTTGTCAGAAACTTGAAGCACAGTAACAAGAAAATTGCCTAGTGCCTACATTGCCTACATAGTTTGCTATACTGCTTTCTCAGGTTAAAAGTCCAGTATTCAGACACAGAAGGTTCCCGCTGTAGTTACGAGCCAGTTATTATAGCCACCAGCAACAACAGTATTCATATCTTGTGATGAAGATAGGCACCAGGAGGCGTAGAACTGTTGAATAGACAATTCTTTTATCTGTCTGACATGTCCCAGTGGATGAAATGTCACTGCGAAAACTGGGCTAATGGCAGATGATTGAAACTGTTAGGTCATTGTGTGACATAATAAGAGGTCCAGGCAAATGGCCAGGACCAGGAGTCAGGAACAGGAGCTTTTTGTTTGGCAGTCAGAGCTTGAAATAATGGTTCAGTGAAAGATATTATCGTGATCCATAATCTTTGGACTCAGTCTAGGCTGCAAGGGCCCTCATTTTTTTAAACTGTATTTTGATTCATGCAACTCTCAGCACATATGTGGGTCTGATGTTGCTGAAAATGTCTGTTGTTTATTGTGTGTTTTTCAAGCCTTTTTCACTTTTTGAATTAAATGATGTCCACTTTGTTTTGTATTTTTCTTGACTGATTCAGATTGTAAATTAAAAAAAATGTTTATCTAGGTCATTTGTTCAAAGCTATAGGCAAAGGTTATTGGAATACAGTGTGTGTGCTGAAAGATACACGTGGCTGCATTAGACCTCTGCAACGTCCAGTGTATAACTTTACTGTATGAAAATACGGCTTTATTGCCCGGTAATCTGAGGGCCACGGAAGTGTCTGAATATGCTCAGACCGCTGAAAGCCGTAAGTTTGTCTTGCGTCACTGTAAAAAGCTGACTGTCATATGCTTGGTGAAGCAGTTTCTCCTCCTAGATTATCATAATTCATTTTTAACTAAAAATATGACACTATTGTTTTTAATTTTTTTATTGTAGCACTCAATGCCTCAGGTCATCCTACATTATATGCATTTCTGTGCTCTACACAGCAAATTCAGCTACTGGGTCTGTCTTTGACGTCACCGTCTGGCCAGTGGTTTCCTGCTAAGTTCAGGGTGTGTCACTGGATCCGGAACATAAACAGGATATTTAAGGTCGGAGCTGCTGTAGTCCATCTGCGTGTTTGTCAAACTCTATCAGTAAATGCCAGATGTCTATTATCTATACTTAATTCAGTTCAAACAAGTTGAAGTGACTTTGCACAAAACAATCTCTGATATCTTGCACCCAGAGAAAAGGGTTTTATATTAGTCATGCAGTTGCAGCCCCATGCTTGTCACCATTGAATGTAGATTTGCTTGTCAGTAACAGGTGAGATATTATAAAGGCTACATTTGGTTGACGTTGCACCCAGCTGTCTCTGCTGTTACCACAAGGGTTAAAGTCTCTTGCGAATCACCATGACACATCTCTGTACACCACCCATATCCCAGCTGCCTGAGCAAGTTAAATCTAGTAGATATCTTCAAAAGTTACAGTCACAGGCACTGTTTCCCTGTTGAGCTACAGTGGTAAGATTATAACTAAAAGAGGAAATGATCTACTGTAAAAAACATACTCCTTGACTTCTCTAATTCAGACTTTTAAACCCCCTTATAAAGTGAAGATAAACTTTGGAACATATTTTTGCACAAATGGGCAACTGTGAATTTTAACCCTCGTCACATGTAATGGCTATGATGAATAGGAAGAATGATTACATCAAGTAAAACCTGTTGCAGTGTTTAGGTGCACCCGCCTATTGTTTAAAGACAGACACAAAAAGGCCTAATTGCTCTGTCAGATTGTTGTTTGATGGACAACTGAAAAAAACGTCATTAACTTGTCAGATGAGCACTCAGAGTTTATTACATCTTCTGAAGTGGCTCTTCCCAGTTTCCACTGAATAACCTGCCAGCCAACCACTCTCGCCAAGTTTCAGTCAGCTGAACAGCTGTCGCTTGACCGGGGATGACTCCAAAGAACTTGTGATTGTAGTGTGTATTTTTGGTCCGTCTACTTTCTATGTCGAGGCGTGTATCTCATCACAGCCTGCAGCTTTTCTCCTAAGCTTGAAGCTTTTCTTACTGCATTTTCTCTAGCTTTCAAAGTCAGTTTGCTGTTTGATTTTCAGGAGCATCTTGTCATCAGAGAAGCAGATCAGATTTTTAGAAAGTGGGCAGAAGCCTAAATATCTGACACTTTGCTCAAATAGTCATTGCAACAGCAGTGTAACCACTTTTAGATGTTCAGAGATAATGCAGTATAATAGAAAGAAACTTAATGAAATAGGTTGCAGTAAATGCGGACTAAAGTGGCATCCATGGCTGTTCTTTACCCATAAATAACTGTGAAGGGGCTCTGGATGTTAAGTATGTACTTGCATGTGTCTTCATTGTGCCTCACAAATAGCTGAAGTTTCTGCGTAAAAACCAACATTTCCTGTTGCCTTGTGGTTGATGTCTTCCTCATTGGTGTGAGACTACTTACTTACCCGAAGTTGTTTGTCAGTGTTGAAGAAGTAGAAAATAGTGGCTGTTTCATTTGTTTCCTGTGGCCACCCAGCAGGCAGCCATGGCAACCCTCCAGTCAGGGAGCCTCTGACTGCCTGCTGTTGTTCCACAGGGATGGCCAGCCGAACAGCCTGTCCTCCTGTGTGTCTCTGTTTACTTTACTGGAGGGCTAGATGGCTGGCAAACTGCAGATGTCATTGGCTTATTGCCACACTAAACACTCTCCTTAAACTATGGCATTGAGGGGACAAAGACGGGCTGAAGCCTTTCCAGAAAGAGCCTCTTTCTCTGCTAATGAACTGGCCTGGCACGAGTGAGGTTCAACTTTAAGCAAGCTGAGCGTGCTGTTATACATGTGTTGCACACATCAGGTTAAGCTATGGATTTATACAAATCCCTCCCTTATTTATAATTAGAATTAAATGTATATTGCAATAGCTTTTGCCAGTCCTAACATGCTTTGTTTCTTAATTTGCTGGTCTGTTATCCAGGAGGAATGCAAGACTACAACTACCTCTATGGAAACTGTCTGGAAATCACCATGGAGCTGAGCTGCTGCAAATATCCTCCTGCTACTGAACTCCAAAGGGAATGGGATCTGAACAGGGAATCCTTAATAGCATACATGGAAAAGGTAGAACAACCAACAACAACAACAAAAAAACAACAAGTATTGATACATAAACAATCATTATAATGTATTTTCATTTTTTGGTTTTATCTAAAAGGACAATGCCACAATCAAAGCCTACCTGCAAACCATTTATCTTTTGAGTAATTGTGCTCTTCCAGGTTCACATAGGTGTTCATGGTTATGTGAAAGAAGCCGTCGATGGTGCTGCCCTCAGCAATGTCAGCATTGTGGTAGCAGGCATTCACCACAACCTGACCACAGGAAAATATGGGGAATACTACCGCCTTCTTCTCCCAGGAACATACAACTTCACAGCTGTGGCTCCAGGGTGAATAATACCAGTTGATTTTCTTTCCATAGCATGTTTTCACAAACAGAGCTTAGTCATTAATTGACAGTCCAACCAGTCAGGTTTTAAATTTCATTGTAGTCACCAGTGATGACCTACTGAGTGCTGCATTCATCGCTGTTTGTTCCTTGTTGATTATTGCCAGATCACAATGAGTGAAGCAAAATTTTTATTCTGGCTCTTGTAGACTAGCAGATTTTAAGCACAGTTTGTATGCTCCAGACTTTACCCACATGTGCTGCTCAAAATTTTTTTTTTAACAACTTTAGTTCCTCTTAGTGTCACAAAGTAACTTCTGCCACTGAGGCGATGACAAATGTGTTTCATAAGTGTACTTATTAACTTCTTTGGAAAGAGATTTAAAGGAAATTGCAGCAATAATACAGTTTTTTTTGTCATGGCAATTTGACAAATACTTTTGCACTTACTAGTGATTTTAAGGCGGAGCTGAAGTCCTCATGTACATGTTTCTTTTTGTATGCAGGTACGCATCAATGACAGTCAACAGTGTTCAGGTGATTGAGGGCAAAGCCACAGAACTTAACTTTACCTTGCCACCTGTAGTCAGTGTGGCTACAACCAGCTTGCCTGTGAACACAACCTCAGTGCCATCAACCAGCCATCCAAACGCTTCCACCACCAGCTCCTCCAAGTCCAACCAGACCCTGGTGGTTCCCTCTGAGGGAAACAAAAACACAACAGCTGTACTTCCACCTGTTCACCAGCCCATCCAGCCCCAGGAATTTCGTCACCACAACTATGTAGACATGGAGCTGTTCTTACGCAAGTACAACACCGAGTTCCCCTCGATAACTCATCTTTACTCTGTTGGCCACTCGGTGGAAAGCCGTCAGCTGTATGTGATGGTCATCTCGGACAACCCTTCTGTCCATGAACACGGTATGTCTTAGATCGCAGTGTAATACAGTCCCTACAGAAGTTATTTTGTTCACATGTGATGAATAGCTGGGCTCTAGATGCATGGCTCCAGACTGCGACCAGTTTTGGAGAGTTTGCGTATGAAAATTTTAAGTGGTTACATTTGTGTGAGTGTATGATGAATATTTGGCTGTTTCAGTGACACACTGGCTGTTGCAGGGAGTAGCTTCGTTAGCCACAGTAGTGGAAAAGCGTACTTTTTCCATTATTATTATTATTATCATCATCATCATCATCATCATCATCATCATCATCATCATCATCATCATTATCATTATCATTATCATTATTATTATTATTTTATTTTATTTTTATTTTTTTTACCTCAGTCAGTGTCTCTGTTCCTTACACATGAAACAAAATGAATTTCACTATTGCATGTTCCAACGATGAAGCAGTCTATCGGATTATTACAAGAATGTATAATGTATAATAAAGAGTGCAGGTGCAAGCACGGGGATAGCAAGTGACTCAGCAAAAAGTAAAGAGTACTACATCCAGTCACAATGGCTCACTCTGTTCCACAGGTGCAAAGTTAAATGACACGCATTGCAATCATGCTTTTGATTTCGCAGTTAAATGAACTTGATTGACTTGTAATGACAAATGAGCTCCACTTGCACATAGAAAACAGTCCATGTAGATAAACTAGCTTCAATTTATTTGGGGGAAAATAGGACAGTTGAATCTCTTACTTCACTCTTTTCAAAGTAATTTTTTGTTTGTACACCTGTCTAACTGAAGTGCAGCCACCTAGCAACATCCACCATAGCCTGCATGTGAGGCATTTACAGAACAACACTTTAGTGTCATTTTTGCCTGTGCCCAGTTTATACAAGTGATATCAGACCACCTCCAAGAACCAACTGGGGATGAAATTAATTGAGTTTTTCTAAGTAAAATATTTTGCATGTATCAAATCTGAAGTTAGCATCAGTCTTTACACCAATGCAAAACTGGGGTATGCAAAGACAACCATGCAAGGTTGATTAATACCTCGCTGTACCAAAAAAGTGGTTGGAAGCTGCGACCAAATGTTGTGCGCTACCAGTGCTACGAGATTAAAAAAAAATAATAAGAATGTGGGGAACCCTGAAATGTTCATGTTAATGTGAGCTTTCTTTGGTATTATGTTCATAGCATCTGTTAATCCAAGTTAAAATTTTGCATCTTTCTCTTTCCAGGTGAGCCAGAGTTTAAGTATGTGGCCAACATGCACGGCAATGAGGTGGTGGGTCGAGAGTTAATGCTCAACCTCATTGAGTATCTGTGCCATAACTATGGTAGCGACCCAGAGGTCACTGAGTTGGTCAACAACACTCGCATTCACATCATGCCTTCAATGAACCCTGATGGCTATGAGGTAGCCGTTGAAGGTAAGGGGATAAAAAGACACATACACATACATTTTCAGACAAACTATAACACAGCAACACTATCTGCAACACCAACCAAGTATATTGTGAAACATTATGTGAAATATTTTAGTATACAGCTCTTAGATATATTGCTTTTAGATACATGAGCAACTGTGTAACATAACATTACAGAACCTTAACTGTAATTTGATCATTACATTAACTATTCGTCGAGTCTATGTTGCTAACTGCTCTCAAATTTACAGCCTTTGTGAGTGAAACAAGTCCATATTCACATGGAGAGGAAATCTTAAGCGATTACAGTGGCTAGTATAATTTTGTGAGATGTAGCTTTTCTTCTAATTTCCTTTGCAAAGTGGTATCTCCTTACATCCTATCTCCTTACATACAGCAGCCTTCAGGTCATCTGCTTGAAAATGGCTTCGGCTGCACTGCCTTGCTTTTGTGAGCATGTAACATGAGCACGTAACGACTGCCAATATGTTGTATCTGCTGCTGATGTGTAAGAGGAAGTGTAGAGGAGACGTAGCTGAGGTCCTGCAAATCTTCGAGCGAGTACCTGCTGCAGTTAAAGATACATGTGGATGACTCATCACTGGTGTTTCTTTCTTTCTTTCTTCAGGGGATGCAAAGGGCTACCAAGGACGCAACAACAGTAACAATTATGACCTGAATCGCAACTTCCCAGACCAGTTTACCACCATCACAGATCCCAGACAGCCAGAGACAGTAGCTGTGATGAACTGGCTGAAGAGCATCCCTTTTGTCCTGTCAGCCAACCTCCATGGAGGCACGGTCTTACTTTAAATTTCCAGTGTCACAGCCACTTTTTGATCATGATAGTCTGTTAATTGTATTGATAGTTTAAAATACTGTGTAAGTTTGTTAGTTCTGTAATAAATGGCTGTTTAGATTCACAGTTCAAACCACTTATGCATATTGAAATGTATTCTAACTACAGATTTTGATTTATTTTTTATTTTTTTGATTTGCTCTGTCTTATCTTTGTGTTTTCAAATTTAGGTTCCTTGGTGGTCAACTACCCCTTTGATGATGACAGAGACGGTTTCATTCATTACAGCCCTTCACCTGATGATGAGGTCTTCAAGCATGTGGCTAGAGTGTACTCACAGGTAACTGGACACTGTTGCCGTGGGATCAGTTTCAGACAAAAAAATGCTTTTGGTTTCACCTATTATTTGAAAGCAAACTGTAGACTCAGTCTACAGTCTTTTTTTGTTCATTCTGTGAAGAGAGAGACCGTGTTTGGAAATTGACTACAACAGTACCCATTGTTTGGTTTTTCCTTGTCTGGGATGTGTGTGTAGGAAAACCCTCAGATGCACAAAGGACACCCTTGTGTGGACCTGTACCCTGAAGAATATTTTAAGGATGGCATCACCAATGGTGCTCAGTGGTACATTGTTCCTGGTAGGCCTACTTGTTTCATCCTTTGTCTCTCTAGTCTTTTTTTCCCATCCAAAGCAGCCTTTTATACTTGAGGTTTTTATTCTATTTACATTATCTTGAAAACTTTTTTTTGCATAAAGAAATTTAGCCTGGCTCACACCTCCTTTGCCAATTCAAACTTCTATTCAATGATTGATAGTTAAAGTTTCGTTCATTACTATAATTTTTTTAAGCTGCTGCAATTGTAGCCTTTAACTGTACGGTGCCTTGTCTTCAGTGATAGATGCAATATTGTAGTTACATGGTGGATATTTGAGTACATTTTCCACATTTTGAGTCTTGCAGGCAGTCTCTTACTTCGTGAAACTAAGAATGAAACATTGAAAGCAACAAACAACTAGACCACTTTTCTCTGGGGTTGTTTGACTTCTTTACAAAAAAAAAAGTTTGTCATCAAAAGTTTTGTCAAACATGCTATAATCACATCAACTTTCTGCACATAATGGCTTTAAGGGAAAGCTTGAGATGGAGTTTAAATTCAAACTTTTTTCTCTAGGTGGCATGCAAGACTGGAATTACATAAATACAAACTGTTTTGAGGTGACCATCGAGCTGGGCTGCGTCAAGTTTCCAATGGCCAAGGAACTGCCAACATACTGGGAACAAAACCGCCGAGCCTTGCTTCAGTTTATACATCAGGTAGGGAGCAAAAATCTTAACGTTATTTCCTCCTCCCTTTGACTCAGTTTTGCGCTTACTTATGTTTACGTGGTTGTTTGTCTCTTGAGGTTCACACTGGAATAAAGGGCACAATCTCTGACATTGGAGATGGTACAGGAATTCCCAATGCCACCATTAGTGTGGAGGGAATCGACCACAACATCACCACCGCTCATACTGGAGACTACTGGAGACTGCTGATCCCTGGGACTTACGCTGTCACTGCTTCTGCCCATGGGTAATCTTTTTATTTTAGGAGAAAGAACATACTGAGAATCTACCATAACATTTTGTATATTTATATCCCATTATTTCCAATGTTGCTAACTTGAAATACCTTTCACTGTTGTCCAGTTACAAATCTGTGACGATCTACGCCACAGTCTCGAAGGAACGAGTGGAGGTGGTAGACTTCAGACTGACACGTTTGCATTCAGACAGTAATGGCCAACCTCTCACTGGCCCCCAACCTACACAAAACCCATCTGAGAGGGAATTCCAGAGCTTAATCAAGGAGCTGTCTCTAGGCCAGGGTTTGGAGCAGCTGGTCAGGAGCACAGCCACAGAGAATAACTTCCGATACCGACCCTCCAGAGAGCTGCCTTCTGTCATGACAGGCTTCAAAAATAACTTTCCCGAAATTACAGAATTACACAGGTAGGCAGGCTTTGTCTTCTGTCAGGTGTTATAAACAGCATTTCCTTTACAGGACATTTAAATGTTTGATATCATTTCTATCATTCTGATCCTCATTATATAACAAGTTAGTGCTGTGTAGTTGCTATTCGAAACTCTTTTTGCTGCTATGTATTTAAAGTTTCTTATAAAACTCACCTTTGTCATTCTTTCTTCTGTTTTGGGTTCAGATTGGGCCACAGTGTGGAGTTTAGAACCATTTGGGCCCTGGAAATCTCCGACAAACCAAGAGAAGCTGAGCCGTCTGAGCCAAAAATCCGCTTTGTAGCAGGGATTCATGGCAATGCCCCTGTGGGCACGGAGCTGCTGCTGGAGTTTGCTGCCTTCCTGTGCATCAACTATGGCAAGAACCCAGCCATCACCAGAGTGAGTGTCAGGGCTTTCAGATAATATAGAGTTTAAAAGCTGCACGTGTAAGGACAGTACTGCGTGTTTGTCAAGTGTTTTCAAAATTTAGCAACTTTTAAAGAACAGGTGGTTTGAACAATTACCTTTAAGTTTCTGAAGTGATTTTTTTTGGTGGCATTTTTACTGTTATCAGGTAGACAGGTGCGCAGTAACCACTCTGCCATCAGGTCGCTTTTTTTTTTTTTAACATTGAAATAGTAGGCCTTGTAAGTATATGTTTTAGCTATGTCTTTAATTGTTCCTTCTCCTTCCATTTCCCTTCCCTAGCTGATCAATGAGACCCACATTTTCATTGTACCCTCTGTCAACCCTGACGGACGAGAACAGGCCACTGAGAAGCAGTGCACGTCCACTCAGGGCTTGACCAATGCTAATGGCAAGGATCTGGACACAGACTTTTTTGGTCAGTTGAATGGATTTGCATGTGTGTAACTGTGCTGACAAGCAGAGATAAAAGACAATTCACACTACTTAATAAGTCTTCAATTGTCAGATTTGTTGTGAATGAAAAAAATAACAGAATTGCTTGTATGTACAACGTACCTTAAGAAACGAAGTATGCACTAACAATCTGTTTTCCTACTTTAATAGGCAATGCATCGCAACGTGTGGTGGAGCCCCAACCTGAGACCAGAGCGATGATGAACTTTATGCTAAACAGGGCCTTCGCTCTATCTGTAGCCCTCGATGGAGGCTCCCTTGTTGCTACCTACCCATATGACAAGCCTGTTCAGACTGGTAAGTCTTGTTAAATTATATAGTTAATAGTATACAATGAATAGTCACAATAATCAATCCACCTGTCTGATGCTGCACAGCTCTGTTCAAACTTGTTGGGGCATTGATGGTGGGGGTGTCCTGTACTGTCTGGCTTAATCAATTTGAGATTTGGGGAGTTTTAAAGCCAGGTCAACAACTTAGGCTCTTTGCCATGTTCCTCGAGACGTTCCTGAACATTTTTTGCGGTGTAGCAGGGTATACTGTCCTGCTGTGGCAGGCTGCTGGCATTAGCGAATGCTGTTGATATGGGAGAGTGTGCTTGGTCTGCAACAATGCTTAAGTGGGTGGTATGTGTCAAAAAAACATCCACACGAATGTCAGGACCCAAGGTTTCCCAGCAGAACATTAGACTGTTACGAGATGATCAGTGTAGTTCACATCATGTGTCAGTGGTTTTAATGTTGTATCTGATCTGTGTATTTTCACATTAAAATGTTAAATCGGTTTATGTAGAGGATTTGAAATGGAGCCACATTCAAAATTGACGCTTTAGGAACAGTGCCCAAAGATAATGATTTGTGTCAGTTTGTTGGCCCATCTGGCCATTCATCTCAGGCATGAGTCCAGAGCAAATTGTTGTGACAATTTGACAGCTTTATTTGATATGAATATTCATGATCCACAGAGGCTAGATAACTCCTCATGTTTTTGATGTCGACTTCTGTGAACACCACAGTCACACCAGATCTTTCAAATATGATTGGAATTTCTTGGTTTTCAAGAATTTTCTGAACACCCTTCAGCTAAACACTTGTTAAACCTTACTTAATACCACTTTTAAGGTAAAGTATATCTTTTTTTTGGAACACAACATGCCATTCATATACAAGTAAAAAGAATGATGCCCAACAGGAATAACTTCAAGCTCTTTTGACTTGAAAGACACTTGAGTTTTTCCACAAGTGCCAGCCTCAGGACAAAAGTGATGTTTCAGCTCTTCTACTGAAATGGTGTAGTTATAGCAAATACTGTCACTTATGTTTATTTGATCCATCACGTCACACAACATGTAAATGTTACTGCTGGGGGTGTAGACTTTGTTTTATTTTTATTATATAAAATGTTCAAAAAAGCAGCACTAATGGACTTTTCCTCACAGCCTACAGACTGACTTGACGAGCCTTTCATTTGCAGCTATAAAGATAACAGTCTTATGTAACAGCAAATTGTAAAGAGTAGAATAAATGATCTGAAAACAGTTTTTCTACTTAACATCTCTAGATTTGGCTGTGTTTAATTAATTGTTTATCTTATTTCTTCCAGTTGAAAATGAGGGCACATTGAAGTATCTGGCAAGCGTGTATGCCAACAACCACCCCAAGATGCACCTCGGGGACACTGGATGTTCAAACAATGGGCAGAGTATGTCATTTAAGTATTACAAATCCTTGTCATGGCAGTCAAAAATATCAGTCAGTATTAAGATGATAGAGATTAACGGCTAACTCTTCTGTTGCTCAGTGGGCAACATCCCAGACGGAGTTATGAGGGCAGCAGAGAGACAAAGTCACATGGGGAGCATGAAGGTACGTCTGTGGCTCCGCTAATTGCTACTATTAAGCCGGCATCTATGCTGCCCCTGGGTAGTATTTGGGCTTCATAAAAATGTGATCTGAAATGAAAAAGGCATACTTAACTTCTCAGAGGAGATGAGCTGTTTTGACAGCTTGTTTAACAGTTTTAAAAGTCTTGATGTAAGTTTGAAGATACTGATTATAACATGAAAAGTGAAGCAAATTTAGAAATGGGTTTTTGTACAGTATTTGTCATCTCATGTCTACATGTTCTACCAGGACTTCAGTATGGACTTTGGCCACTGTCCAGAAATCACAGTGTATACTGGCTGCTGTCTATTTCCTGCTGCTGAGCAGCTGTCAACTCTCTGGGCCGAGAACAAGAAGGCTCTCCTCAGCATGTTGGTGGAGGTACGATGCAGGATTTTATCAGCACAATACGGAAATGTTTAATGGACTAGTTTAACAATGCAACATTCACAAGTTATGACTGATTGTTGTGAGCTTTAAACAATGGCTTTCTGAGGCATGATAAAATATATTGAGTTAGGAATTTTTACTTAAGATTCATCTGATTTTTCTCTCCATTTCTACTCTGTGCAGGTCCATAAAGGCGTGCGAGGCGTGGTGAGAGACAAGAGTGGAAAACCTATTGTTGGGGCAATCATCGTACTGAATGGAGGAGTCAGATTGTTTACTTCAGAGGGCGGCTACTTCCATGCACTCCTGGCTCCTGGTAACCACAATATTGAAGCTGTGGCTGACGGCTACCAACAACAACGACAAAAGGTACACACTTGCATGCATATATATATATGTAATGCAACCAAGGAATGTACTTGCTACTGTGAAGATTATATTTATAGCTATTTTAAATACCTGTGGAATGGCATGTAGAAGTTAAATCTACTTCTATTTAAAGCCAGGAATAATTATACACCCATGATTGAAAATAAAGCACAAGATTCAAACCTGCTGCTGTCACTGTCAAAATGATTAGTCATTTAATGCAAGGGCTATCACTTAACAAGTTCTGTTCACAATATGATGACTTAATAAAACCTACAGAAAGCAGTCTTTGTTCAAAACGCAAACATGTGTATGTACCTCATCAATGTGAAACCCATGGAATGTGACTCCAAATGTATATTTATGGAATGAAAAAATGGCCAAGTGTTAAATTAATGACTCAGAAATATTCATTGAAACAAAGGGCTTACAACATCTGGCTTTCGGTATTAGTTCTTAGTGCTGGAAAGCAGATATAAACTCTGACCTGGTTGTAATAATTTGCACTCTGTTGTACAGGTGCAGTTTATTTACACACACAGTACATTAGCTTATTTCAATACCTAACGCTTGATGATGGACTGAACACTAACACTAAACCCACCTAAACATTTATTTTGACAGGTTTTGGTTTCATAGTTCTGCCATAATTTGACCTCATTAAGGGACTCAAGGAGAAACTACATTTCACATATTCAATGCCACCTTTTATATATTGTGTTCAATCTACTGACTATATTCAGGAAGAAGGGGATACAAATTGACAACTTAAAGTGTCACAAAACACAAATAAGGAATAGCACAATTATATCTGACAGTCTTCGGAAGGATATTATGGTGGTTCACCTTTATTATCTATATCTATGAAAGGTGTAGGGCGAAGCACACAAAATCTCTCCATCACCTCCAGCTTTCCATTTGGATGCTCTGAAACTTGAAGCTTGGGGTAGGCGAGCTCTTCAAACAGATGTTCCTTAATGGTATGTCCAAGCTCCAGACTGTAGGCTGTGCACTCGCCACTGGGATTTAAGAGCAGAGGATCCACCACTGAATGATATGTCTGCTGGTAATCTGGTACTGTGAAACCATGGATCGTCAGATCACTGCTGCAGGTTCTCTCATCAGTAGAGACAGCTCTGGTTCTGTGCGGCAGATTGACATCCGGAATAACAGCAGCGTTTCTTATATATCTGTCATCCAGGGGTTTCTGGGGTTCTCCTTCCCTCTGCTCACACAAAAGGTCCAAATCATAACGTGGAGCCAACATGCATTGTCTCTCCTTAATAGTCTCCCCATATTTCTTAGGGCATCGGATACTCTGCCTTAGGTCATAGGGACGCATCTTGTGCCTCTGGAAATGAAAATGACATGAGTTTGAGTGGATTCTGGTGCCTCTGTAGATTATTCTGTGTGTTGCTAACAGAAAACATCACAAAACAGCCTTTATACTGAAAAAAACAAAAGTAGACTTACTCTTTGGCAGCGACTCTTTGGGTGTGTTTTCTGACCACATTACTAAATCAGGCCTGAAACTGCATGTTTGGAATCCTTATTTCCTGAACTATGAGTCTAATTTTCCTTTTTTCTGTTTTTTTTTTTCCCTTTCCTGTTTTTAAACAATAACACTGAATGAAGAGACTGTGAATTCCCTGATTCAGGCAGTTCAGTGGAGTAATTTAGGATTTTTATGAAGTAGCACTATTTTAGACATTTAAGACAACCTGCTCCAGATTATACTAAACAGTCACACCTGCAAATGAGGCTTGCTAATTAGGTCATTACCAACCGCATTTCTGTGAGGAGCTTCTTAAGACACAAGAGTCTTATACCTCCATTTGGAAAAGCAGCCAGGTTGGATAAGATGTGGTAGGGCTTAATCTTTTCTTCTTTTTGTTTGCTCTTTTGATTGCCATCTCAGTAGTTAAAAAGGGAGTATGGTTGGTTAAAAATAAACAATTACAAGAAAATGCTATGATCATTTGAATTTCACATTCCTCCTGTGATGATTCCACCACAGTAATGCACTTCTATAATGGCTGGTCAAATTCTGGAAACAAGTGTTCTGACAACCTTGATTAAATGACTCTAGCTTTGAGTTTATATTCAAAACTACTACCACAGCTGCTACCACACTCCAAATGAGTTCAAAAACAACAGTGTGATTCTTATGTTTTACAGGGAATTCCACTTTTAGAAATGTTGCTGCTATAAAGCGCTGTAGATCATCTATGTTTCGGGTGGACTCAATGGATTTTTTTAGTTACACCTCAGTGTTAAAGTATTTTTATTCTCTTCCAGGTTGTGGTATCTTCCTATGAAGCTGCAAGCTCCATCATCATTGAGTTTGATATGGACAACAGCATCTTTGGCCTGCCCAGAGAGTTTGTTGTGGCCAGTGCAGGTAAGCATGAAAGAGCCTTTTGTTACCTGTGGTGATTATATATGCATTATGTTGCTTCTTCATGCACAAAATAGGCTTGTATTATATTGTTATATGTTACTTCTCCCTGTGATTCACGTTGTGCTAGTGGTCAAAAAGTTAAACGATCCAACAGTCTTTTACTTACATGATCAGGCTTTAAGATCTTTAGGTATGATCTTTTTACTTTTTCCCACCTAGAAGCCGTATCCGTGCATGCAAACAGACATGCTGAGTTGTGACTTACTCTTCCTCCCTGCAGCAGCCTCCATGACAGCATTGGTTGTGACGGCATGCATCATCTGGTGCGTGTGCGCAGCCAAGTCTAATCGTCAAAAAGATGGCTTCCACCGCTTGCGACAGCACCGGGATGATTACGACGACGAGATCCGGCTCACCTCTATGGGTTCCAAGAAGTCGCTGCTTGCCCACGAGTTTCAGGATGAAAGTGAAAGCGAAGAGGAGACACTGTACGCCAACAAAATCTGAGAAACATTTCAGCACTTTGGCTGTTGGCTCAGAATTTTAGTTTTGAACTCAGACAAAATCAAACTCCTGGCAAACAAGGAACAGGTTGAACTCTGAGCAGCTTCTCTGTCCTACTTTATAACTGATATAAGAGTGATGAGGACACTTGTTCTGTTATACCAATAAGTTCTGAGGGCTCACTCCCAGTCACTCAGTTATTAGTGCAACTAAATCAGTACATTCTGCTGGTGTCTGGACTGAAGACCTGGCGTGTTTCAGCTGCATCTCTGCTTGACTAGTTCAACAGATGGAGAAGGTAATAAAGAGAAGGTGAAGAAAGTCCACTGTTGCCCTTATCCATCCCATTATTGCAGCTTTTTTGTTTCCGAGCCATTTAAGAATACTCTTAAACCACTACCTGTCCTGCCTGGCTGAGAGATCAGACCGATAAGTCCAAATGAACTTACTTTTTAGCGGATGTGGAATGAACTTTAAATGAAAGTGCTTTATCTCTCTCAGTCTCCCCACTGATATCGGTCACCGCCCCACATTTCTTTCATTAATGCTTTGAGCAAGGAAATTCAAATAGTTTTTATTTCTTTATCCAACAAAACATAGCTACAGTGAACTGTCCAGGGCTTTGGGAGACTGAATCCAGTACTGTGCCTTGGCTTCTAAAAAGTTTACAGTCCCAGATGGACTGTAGTATGTGACAGAAAGTGACTGGGATAGTGAATAGGTAATACTTGGTCCATACTGGAATTTGATCCATCCTATACTCAGGTGGAATGAAAAGAGAGAAATTGTGATCAAAGGACTGCAGTGTGGGACTGTTTCTGCACAGATGACTGACCTGGGTTCAGAGGTTTCTATTTTTGCAATGAGTCAGGTTTGTGGACGAAATCATTATGGGAACAAGCTTCTTAAAAGCATCAGGGAGAATCTGTTACTAAGCTTGAATGACCCGTACCCAGTTAGTTGGGAGTGCTCTGATATATTCATGGAAGTCACTTGCACTAAATAGAAAGCGAGAATTGTCCCATATCATTGGCCAAGAAAAGAAACTATGAACCTCTTGGTATGTAATCATTAAAAGAATGTATTTTTATTTCATTATAGTTTTAACAAGAGGTTTGTTGTCCAATAATATCTCTCTGTACATTGAAAATTACTGCTGACTTTCATGGATGTCATGTATAATCTGTGCCCTGTGGTTTTCACCATGTCATCTCACTATAGGCTACCTTCCCCCCCCCATTTTTTTTCATGTTTACCTTTTTGCCAACTACTTATTTTAATTACAAAAGTCATACCAAGTTTGTATGTGCATTAATGATCAGTGTCAGAGACACCCGGACTACACGATGTGAAGGTCCGGTGCGAGTAAATTCATCAAACTGTCAAAGAAAGGACACAATGTAGAGTATAATCCGTTTCACTGTGATGCGGTTCATTTGGGAATTTCACGTGTGAAATGATGGTGCAGTAATTTTCAATTCATTATTCTGATATGTATTTTTAAAAGGTTCAGTCTTATTTGACTTCTTTTGAGTGGGGAGCAGGTTTGTATGCAGACATACAAGCCAAATTGATATGATTAGAAAACCAAGACCTGTGTTGGAAACTCTGTTCCCAAATATCCAAAATGTCGTAAAATGTCACCTAAAGCATCATAAAGCAAAGCAGGTGAACTACCAAAAACCAAAAGTATGATGAATGAGTTTTGCCTTCACATTGGACATCCCTATGTAACTGTCCGTGACTGATTTGAAATTGTCATTTGGATCATTAATGTGGAAATGTTTTGCATGGTTTTCTTTCTTTTTTTTTTTTTTGAAGTGTTTGAAGCAATACACATGATTTGCAGTTAGAAGAGTTTTTTTGCCCTGACAAACTGACATCTGTGTAGGGAGACAGTTTTGTACATTATTTTTCTTATACTATGTGAGCACGTGTGTATGAATTTTTGAAAGTTGAGCGTGTCGCAGTCACGCGTTGTTGATGTGAAGATTTTATATAAACTGGAATCGACTGTAAATAATGTTTGCCAATAGCAAATGGGAGAAGAAAAGTGCAATTCATGTTGAATCTGCACACAACGAAATGTTTCATAAGAACCTCTGTGTGATCAGGATATGCTAACATGCACAAAAACCCACAAAACACAATAAAATAAACCATCTCACAAGATTGTATGATTTCGTGTTGCTGTGTATGGTACTGGTTGTTTTTAGTGGCACTTTTTTGAAACAGACGTCCCAGCAAAGAGGGCAAGTTAATCATTGAAATAGAATTACCTCATAATGAACAGTGGTGTCATTAGTTAGACCCAGAGGCTTCATATTTTAGATGCAGCCAGTGGTTGGAGCAGAGTCAAAGGTGAGTTGGTGTGCTCAAGTTGCAACAAGTTGGGAAGGGTGAGTGGGGAGGGAAGCAAGGTTGTCGCCTATTTTAAGATAGAAAAGGACTCTAAACACTGATAAACAGACTACTTGAAACCTTTTATTAATAGGCTAATTGTCAACAATCATGACAGTCACACACATACGAAAAATCATAAAAAATAATGGAGAACTTCAGCTAAACATTTCTCTTTGTAATTTTATTGTAAAAGAGAAAAGGGAAAAAAGAAGGACTAGATAACAAAAATGTTTAGCAATTTTAAATATATATATATATATGTGTGTGTGTGTGTGTATGAAGTGCACCAGTATGCTGTGTTTAGAGTTGATCCTTCTAAGTTTTTCAGACACACACGTGCTGCCTGTTTTTTCTTCTCTGTTTGACGTTATGCTGTTTTCATCAGCTCTCTTTGGTGACTTAGTTATGGCCCAGCAGGAAAAACCACATGTTTTACGTGCTTTCTTAAAGCAGAAGAGAAGAACAGGCAGAGCAACATTGTCTTCCCTTATGTAGCTAGGCTCGTGTGTTTGAAGAAAATCTTCTCCAAACACAACATATCGATGCGCTTTTGATAGCCTCACTCTGAGACAACAACTTTTTTAATGAGAAGTATGGATAAAAAATGGCTTTTAGGAAGTGGTGTTTAAGGAAGACACTGATTCTGTAAACCTTATCTCCTCAGGAGGTTGATTTCTTCGCCTGAATGGCAAAAGCAAGGTCACATTCAGATTTAAGCTTTGAATTTTGCAACAGCCGAAAGGGCCTCATCTGGGGACCTATGGCTGTGAACGAGTCCATTGTGGGTCAGCATTTCTGATTAATGAACAGGTTGCCAGGGGAGGGAAACTAGGATTTGGGTGATGTGATGTAGTCTGCTATAACTGGTAGGAAGCTGAGCTACTGCATTCTGAACTGATTGGAGGCGAGAGAGGGACTTATGGTCCTTACAAGAAAGGAGGGCGTTTACCGCAGTCAAGCCTTCAGTTAGTGCATCAATTACTGTTTCCAGGTCGGAGTATGAGACAAGTGACTTTAGTCTACCTTGGATCTAAATCAAAAAAGTGTTTCTCAGATGTGTGGCAGTGGGCATTATATTAGTGGATAATATGGCCAAGCCGATTATCAATTAGACAGATTTTTATATTTATGGGACTGAAGAATGTGATTTCTGATTCTGTACATATATCTGGGACTTTACATGAGTCAGTCAGAACTAAAGAAGTTCCCTGAAGGTTGCCTAAGATTGAAGCTCTAAGGATAAATGTATAACATCTTGCTGTAGTTGTTAAAAGCTGTTGGAGCTATGCTCTCGGTTATGCTGTTAATGCTATTGAGACTGTCATGCCTGAGAGGCTCAGCTGAGGGCGATAAAACTCCTGTAGTCTGACAATTTGCTGACACGTGACAAAACCCGGAAGTTAGTGACGTCGCAGAACAACAAAGATGGCAGGGATAGGAAGCAGCAACTATTGGGAAGGTAAGGAGACAACATTTGACTCAGTTCACAGTAAATTGTATTTACAGTAACATATAGTACTATATTCATAACGCCAGTAGTTAATTTGCCGCTGTCATGGCGCGTTTTGCTCGTACAGCCACGTTTAATACACGTCTCTACAACAACTAGTTAGCTTCTAGCAAGCTAGCTAGCTAGCCAGCTAGCATGCCGCCTTGCAACTTAAGTTACCGTTATTACTTAAGCTGTTGAATCTGTGTCGCTGCTCTAAACTGCTTATCAACGAATTGTGTCAGCCATGACGTTCATTAAATGACAATGAACAGATATATATTCCTATTTTTTTTCCCTCGGTTAATGTAATGTTGAAGTTGGTTAGCTCATTCAGCACAAGCGTTGCTGTTACAGCGTTGCTCTGGCTTTCACAACAAACTGACACGAGCTGTTATTGACGTAATTTGGTCTTTTGGTTAAGTTGAAGTATCAATACCACACTTTAAAAAGAAATACTGTTGTTTTCAGTCCAGCTGTCAAAGTATTACTGAAGTCGAAATGCAAATTACGATTATACGATATTGGGAAAAATAAATGACATTGTGATGTTTTGTTTTTCTGTGATATATCTCGCGATATAAAAAGATACAGGAATTTTCATCAGATGACCTCAGCACCTTTATTTGAAAAGAATTAGTCATTCGAGTGCACCTATACCATAGATAATAATAAGAAAGAAAAATAAAAAAGCCTCTTGGAACATTTCCTGTATGGTTTAACCCAGCAAAAGCATCCAAGATATGTATATTTTTTTGGTGTAATGGAAGGCCTTCAGATCTGGCTTTACGCTCATATTACAAAGCTTTGTGGTGCTGATTTAAATCATCAAATGAAGCAGTGATGGTAACAACTGCAAGACACTGCTGACATAGGTAAAGGTCCCAAATAAATGTATAGGAGGATTTTCCACTGTCGTGTAGTAGAGTTGAAATATGAAGGAACATAAAATTAAAATCCTCAAAGTTGCAGTTATTAAATGCAGTACTCGAGTGAATGTACTTTCCACAACTGATTGTTAAAATGCTTTGCCTGGGTTGTGTGCTTTTCTTACAGATCTGCGAAAGCAGGCTAGACAGTTGGAGAACGAACTTGACCTGAAGTTGGTGTCCTTCAGTAAACTGTGCACCAGCTACAGCAGCTCCAGGGATGGACGTCGAGGAGACACGTAAGTCTTTCAATACACCTGCAGAATTAATAGCCACTTAAGGAAAAAGTCTCTCCAGATTCTGAGCAGAAAATCGATGAGTAGCGGTAGTAATGCAGACTAGTAGTTTGCTAGTTTGAGACTACATGGTTAATAATCTACTCTGAGTAAACTTGACAACTAGGACACAAGTCCTTTGATATGCTGGTCGAAATAGTAATTTTAGAGTTGTCGCAATCAGTCGCTAAATCCATTATTCAATCAGCAGAAAACCACTGCTATTTTCTTAATTGTTTAAATTTGATAAAAAATTGCTAAAAAAAGAAGTAAAGATTTGCTCTTTTTCTCTGTCATACTTGAGAAAGAACTCAATATTTTGGATTTTGCGTTAATGGTCAGATATAACAAGGAATTTTACCACACCCACTTGGGTTCTAGAAAACTATAATATAATTTGTCAACTAACTTTCGACAGTTCAAAGATCAAATTAATTATCAGGAAAATACTTTGCAGATTAATCAATGATGAAAATAACTGTTACTTGCAGTCCTACATTATTTAGGTTCCTGTCAATTTATGTTAGTGAGTTGACTAATACTACCCTCATACTAACATAAGGGGAATGTCTGTGATAGAGTATATTCTTGATTTTGTGTGAATAAGAAATGGCTGTATGTCAGAGGGTGTTCTCTGGTAACAATGTCAAAAATTATCCTAATATTTATTTAACACTTTTAGGTGGCAAATGTGGCCTAAATTATAGTCATCTAAAGGCCCTTAGATTTGCTTGCCAGCACAGGAAAGGTTGGCTGCAGGAAGGAAGTGTCCATGAACAATACATTGAGTCCAACCAATTCTAAGGGTGTTGCTCACAAGCTACAAAAATCTAGGAGGGAGGCAAAAAAAAGGAGGACTTCTCTATTGAAATGTATTATTATAACACACAAGTTCATCTTTGTTTTTTTTCATGGCTTAAGCCACTTGTTGTGAACTGTAAGGGTTAAACCTTGAAACCCAGCACACTTTTAAATTTTGATTCTTGACAATAATTGGACGGGAAACATAATATACAAAAACGTTTTTCAAGTGATTCTGTCAAGAGGCTATCGATGCATCCAGTAGACCGTCACCAGCTATTAACCAATAGCTACCCATGTAATTTGATCTATATGTCCTGTTTAACATCTGTGTATAAAGGGAGGAGTTTATGTTTCCAAAGGGAGTGTCTTAAGTCAAGCCTCCTTTGATTCCCATACAGATGGTGTTAAAATAGTCCTTAATTCTGGACTATTTCGAGTATTTTCTAATTCAGTATTTGTTTTCCTTTGCACTGACCTCAAACTTTAAGTGTTTTTGCACAGTTTGTACTGTTTGAATTTATGTGAACATGATTCTTCACACAACCGTGAATCCTTTAGTATCATGTTTAGATATTTAACTTCAGCAGTGTATTTTGTATTCAGTGAAAAAAACTCGTCAATAATTTGTGTATCTTTAAGTATATAAACACGGATGAAATCTATGACACAAGACAAGCAGCTTTCTAATTGGTCTTTATTCCTGGTTTTCCCCTTCAAGGTCGGACACCACCCCGCTGCTGAACAACTCTACCCAGGACAGGATGTTTGACACCATGTCAGTGGAGATTGAACAACTGCTGGCCAAAGTAAGTAAATCCTGTTTGGCCAGTGGCCCGTGAACGGCCAGCAAAAAGGACAACACTAGATTTATTCCAAGGCTCTTGTCTTTCATCAAGAAAAGAGCAAACCGCAGAGTCCACTTCTCCACATGATTTGCAGTTCAACAAAGAAATGTAAGATTTAGAATTTTTTGTTGACTGACTCTGGAAACAGCAAGAGATCCTAACAGGACAGTAGAATTTAGGAGTATAATTTCTAAAGTACAACAGATGTTAAAATCGATGGCGGCATTATAATGGTGTGCAGTAGTGACCACAAAAGGGCACAAATGTATTTATCTTCATGATGTCTTATATGATTTGGCTGTTTGACTGTTCTGAAGTGTACATCTCCCAGTTGAAATATGTTGTATGTGTTATTCATTATCATATTTCCCAACTGGACCACAATCTCCTCGTTTACCTGGTGTCTTCCATCTGTCCATCTGCTCATTTCCT